CCATAGCAATAGAATCTTGTTTTTAATTTTCATTTCAGCAAACTCTTTGCTTTTATGCTATCCTTACTTTTTCTCATTTCCTACAAATTATTGTGGGAGATAGAGAAAGATAGAACTTCAAATACATCTCTGTACACCTGTACTTTTGCAGGTATAAAGAATCCCATAGGGTTTTTTTGTCCTTTGAAATCAACTGGATTATTTTGCTGGCAAAAGATGCAAATATCTATCTTTATAAATATAAGATATGTAAATACAAGTATGAGATCTATATGAGATATATTTATATTTGTAGAGATATCTCACACAGGTGTTTTTCTATACATATTGAAGATACAAATAACCTCAAATGCAGCCACTATTTTTGTGAGAGCAAAATTGGAGGTTGGATTAAGTTCTCAAATGAGTGGTGTTGAATAGGTAATCCAAGCATTTCTGTCATGGAACAAAGATAACCAGAAAGGTTGGTGGAGAAAACCATGACTCTGGTTCTTCTTGTTTGAAAAATTCTTGATTAAATGGGTAAAAGTTTGAGAACAGTTTGTGCCAACTGAACTTTTAGTCTCACCTTAGTTAGACCTGGTATTTCTGTTCCATTTGCGGACAAAAGAAAACGATGGGTTTGGTTTGTGTTTTTTCTTGTATAGCTCTGTGGAACAGTGGTAACACATACTGGAAACATCAAGGGGTAAGTAATAAGCTTTTAAAGTCAATTCTAGGTCTATTACTACTAGGTCTCTTACTACTTTACTATTTTTAAGAAGGCTTCTTAGCTTTCAGTAACATGAGTGCTGTAAGGTTTAAAATTAAAAAATAAAAAAAATTATTGAACCATGTTGATGTTCATATGAAAATCTATGCCTTCATTCTGCTTAAATTACATTATAATTCTGTCTTAATCAAATTTTCCTGAATTGCTTTTGTGATTATTTTCAGGCTATATAAATGAGACTCAAGATACTTCTATGGGAATATATCATTGTTCTTCCAAGTGTATTGGCATTGGCATTCATCTTTCAAATCCTGAGCCACTTGTTTTATGTCACCTGTACTGTAAATCCCAAATGTACTATTGAATGTTATGCCATAAACTACTGTACAGAATACTTTGTGATCAGGGCACTGCCTCTCGAATACCACTGTTCAAGGCTTGAATTAAAATGGTTTTTGTTTTTTTACTTTTTTACACTGGGCTTTCTATCTTACATCACAATTTATAAATTAATTAGATTAACAGTCTTTGCCTAGCAATCCTCTGACAATTGGTCAAGTTTTTATCTTAAATTGTTGATTTGTGTTAAGTACACTACATACACGTTTACATAGAAATACATTTTATATACAGAGACTTTTGTATATACATTTTTCTTAACACTTAAGTGTTTAGTTAATATTTTAATCTTGTATAATACTCTTCACAAATGAATTTACCAGCATGATCAGTGTTGCTATTTGGTGCTCTTCAATGACCACTTTGGACTAAATTTGAAGTGTAATGGGATCCACAGTGTCTCCCTGTGTCTCTGAAAAGTTCAGTTGCAGTTTTGTTTTCTCCCTCTTCTTTTACTTATTTAATATTTAGTGTTTTTTGCAGTATAGACCTAAAAGAGACTTTCTGGAGAAGTTTGTTTTGAAACTCTTTGGGTGGGAGGGTTGGGAGTGTATGTGATGTGTAATATAGCAAAAAAGCTAAGCTTTCTAGAGTTCAGTAGTACTCAAAAAGAGCATGAGAGACAGAATATGTTGGTGATTTTTAGAATGCTTTACTTTGTCTCCCTTTTCCTCATTCACACTCATCTCTGTAATGTCCTAATAGTATCTCTGTTAAGTTGTGGCCCTTTCAGAGGGCTGTGATACTATTTGTGCTAAATAATTTCAAAATATTATTTCCAATATTGAAATTCAAACATTTTTAGTAATCAGAGTTAACATTTGTACTATTAGAATCATTGCCGTGAATTTAGGCATACAGTTGCATTGCTGAATTAGTTAACAGCAGAATTCATCAACAAGGCCAAAAGTACCTATGTTAATTGTGTAAAAACATTTTGGCGGGTGAAGTAATGAGGTATATTGATCTAAAATAGTGTCTCTTCATATATCAGTATTGTTAACTTTGTTTCCAACAAGGTTCATTGTATTGAAGTAGGGATAATCCTGTAAATCAGTCATATAATTTTAAAGAAATGCTGAAAAGTGATACCAGTCTTTAATCTGGAATAACCTTAAATTTTTCATTTTTAGGTCATATATGGAAACATTTCTAATTGACAGTATGTAGCATATGTGTATATGTAATGTTCAGAACTGCCGATTTTTAAAAGTTTCTATTTTTAATTTGAGAAAATGTTCCCAGTTCATTTAAATAAAAAAGAACTTGCTTAACTACCTGATGTTTAATTCTCAGTTGTTTTCTTGTGTAGACCTGTCTCAGAAGAGTTGCACTGAGTTAAAATTGTATGAAAATTAATTTTTTTATCCTGATTAAAAATTTCTGTTATATTTTACTTTTATTGATGACTTTGGCTTAAGCAAGATAAGAGACCAAGAATTGGAGCAGGAAGGACTGAAAGAACGTTGCCTCTGGGTGAGGGAACTTCCGACTTCCACAAAGGATGTGATTTAAGCAAAGATGGTAGGATTCAAGCTAATGAGTTGTGGAGGATATCCACATACCCTGCAAGTGCTCAAGGTGTTACTGCCTACTTCTGTTGTTGTTTCTGTAGCACTGACAGCAAAATTAAACGTTTGCCAGTTTTTCAGCTGCCATAGTTTACTGCTGGCATCCTAGTTTAACATGTAAAAGGACAATTGTTTTCCACTGATAAAACAGACTGTTTCATCTGAAGCGCAGGCAGGCAGAGGACACAAACGTTGAATGGGAGTGAGACAGACACTTGGCAGTAACATATTAACTGTAATACGTAAATATACCAGAGCTTTTGAGCCCAAGCTTTGGTATTTGTCCTTATCCTTGTAGCCTGATTTGTTTTCATGAATACACTTTAAAAATTTTCAGAATAAGAGATCTGAAACTGGTATAAAGTAACTTCTAAGTAGTTTTGAACTCTTTAACAATTATTAGAACAAGAGAGACAAATGCCTTTAGTTTCTAATCTAGGAACTGTCAGTGCTGTTGTGCACAACCAAGTGTAAATAACACATTTGTTAGTCAAATATTAGGACTTCTTTGAGTGCTTGCGCTCAACGGATTTGAAATCCTTGAAATGAAGTGTGAGGTGGGCAACAAGATTCTTCTGTCTGTCTGGATGATGGGTGAGAAGACTCCCCAGAAAACAACAGAAGAGTAAATTGTAAATCTTAAGTAGACTTGTACCATTGCTGTTTCTCCTAAGGCTTGACTGGCGAGCCACACCACTGTGCTTTGAAAGAGACAGTCAGGAGGAACAAATGGCAAGAAGCTAGAAAAGAGACCTCTACTAAAAATGTTATTAAAATAGCCTTAGAGAGAGGCTGATAGGAAAACAATGTTGTTCTCTCCATCAAATGGTATTTAGTCATGGGGAACTTCATGACACATTCACTGGAAGATCAAAGTTCAGGCTACCTAGAGTGGCTGTTCCAGGTGGCCCCGTCTTCAAGCAGGCAGCTCTCAGACTAGCTGAGGTGCCACAGCAGTTAGGAACTCTATTGTCAAGTGTTAGAGAAGCATTTTTTTTTCAATTCTATTTTTGTGTTCTGCTTCACTGTCTGTGTTAAATTAATGCTTGTTCCTTGGTATTTTCTTTAGTGATATCTATTGAATGGATAGATACCCGAAGTGGTATTCTATTCCCTTATGTATGGCTATTCTTAAACCCAGGGTTTCTAGCACCCCACAGTTATTCAAGCATACCTAAATAATACGATACCCCTTCCAGAAACTGTTCAGGTTAGGCTGAGTGTAGCATACACGTCTTCAAAAGAAGTGCCTAGTGGGGTCTTATTAGCCAGAAAAGTACTGTGGCTTGCAACAGCATGCAAGGGATGTTTTCCTCATGACCTCCTGAATGCCAAGGGAGTTACCATGATTTTCCTTAGTTCTGCTTTCAGTTGCTGCAGCAGAAACTGCTAGTACAGGATTCTGCACTAAAATATTTCTATTCTCTTGCCTTTGTTTTATGGCATTTTTACAGCTCATTTATTATGAACAGGAAAATATTTTATAAAAAAAAAAGTGAAAGTTGATAAAGCACAAATAATGTCTGACATGCTCCGGGGTCTATATCCTGCGCTGAGACCCATGATAAGCTAGCTCTGTTGCCTTGCTCTGTTGGCTGAAAACAACCCATGGTGTGACAATTATGATAAAACTTCCAAATGTTTGGTTTATGTTTATAGACCTGTAATACTTTAATTTGCTAAAGCTTTATTCCTTATCTTTCTTAAATATTGCAAGTTTAAAAATCTTTCATGGCTCAAAGAATGTGTAGATTGTTCCATGTGTCCCCAGTGTATGCCACGTGCTGACAAAATTAAGTACTCAAGTTGCATCCTTACTGTGCAAATCCACAGAAAACCCGTTCCACAAATCAGCCTTTATTAATAGGACACATTTATAATCATGCAGATGTAGCTGCATAGATTGGTTTGGCACTTTTCTCTTTTTTTACTTCCATATGGTCTTACAAGCTCTGGCATGAAAGTAACTATAAAGCAGCTGGAGACTGAAAAATATATGTTAAAAATCAAATATGACATGTTCATCCTGGATAGGAATGTGCTTCTTGGTTATACAACTATCGTTCTGAGTTTAACTGCGTTCACAAGATTTGTCTTGTTACCTTCTTGGGAGTTCACAGGTTATTCGACACTCCCTCAGGCTATATATTATGGGTACATGCCTACTGAAGTGTGATTTATTATTTTTATTTAAAAAAACCAAACAAACAAACAGCAACTTACATCCTGCATTTCTCTGGAAAGAGGCTTCTTTGTGCACCAAGCCTTTAAATTGTGAGCAGCCAATTACTTACTGCTTTCATTTTTTCGGATCGTGTTGCTCAAGGATCTCAGTCCACTCTTCTCACCATGAAGAATTTTGCTCTTCTTTTCCTAGTAGTGATCTCTGGCATGGGAGGATTGGGACAGAAGCTGAAGCCAAAGAAAAGAAGCAATGGTGAAGAAATCAATTTTCGGACTAAAACCAAAGATGTCTGCACAATGAGCATGAGTGGGGATGAGGAGATGAAACTTAGAATTGAATGCAAAAGCCAAGGCATGTCCTACTGGTGTGAATTCACTGGCAAGCCATCAGTCTGTCGTGCTTTCAGAAACAATCCAAAGATTTACTGGAATCAGATCGCCGTGGAACTTAGAAAGCTCCCGCACGCTTGCGAATCCACACAAGTGTTGAAGACCACCATGTGCCAAAAGGCTCCCACAGAGGCTCTCATGAAGCAAATAGCTGCTGGTATGGAGCCAGAAGATCTAGCAAACCAGGACAAATCAGTCCAGAAAATTTCCACTTCTATGAGGGGAGCAGGGAAAAGCTCTGTTAAGAAAATAGGAAAACCTCCAATACTACCCCTTATAAAACCAACCCAACGTGGTCAAGGGTCTGAAAATGAAACGGAAGCAATGAAACTGGCACGGGAACATTGCTGGGAATCCCTGCATGGCTTCTGCTCCTACATTATTGGCATCTTTAGAGGTTAAGGATTTGCTACAGGTAATACTCCCATCTTGAAGCACAGCAGAATATATCTAAGAGAAATCCTGTTGTAGTTTTGTTTTATTTTGATTTTGGGGGTGTCTCAGGGGTGTGGACAGGGAGGTTCTAGGCTCACTTACTAAATCTAACGTGGTATAGCCTATATTGTGGCTTCTGAGGGGCTGGACAGCTTAAATTCCCAGTGATGGCTACTAGTTCAGGACTCCTTGACAGCCTCCGGTGAGGTCTTTAGTATGTATAAAGATGTTTGTCCTATCTTTTACTAATCCTATGGTATATCAGTTCTAACTCTTTGAATTGGGCTTGTTTTCCACCTTTCGTCATTCCTTCCTTCTTCTGCTGACTTTTGGATTTAAGCCAGTGAAATAAGGCAAATAACAAATGCATCAGCTAGAACAATTTAGAGCTACATTCAGAAATTGAGATGCTAAAGCTTGTTCATCAAAACTTCTAGTTAATAATTAAGCATTTTAATTTTTAAAATAAGTTCATAAACAACTTGCAGAAATGAGTAAAACCAAACGGACTGTCTTGGTTTGCAGGTCTGTTTCTGTAGAGGTGATAGGGGATCGTATGCAGGTGCTTCTCTGGTAAGTCTCAGGTTTTCAGCCAGGATTTACAAAAGGCAAAGCTCTCGCAGAAGTGATGGGTTTTATACCCACTTCCATTTCAGCTCAGAGAGAAAGCCAGGAGCTGGTGACTAAACCTGGCAAACTTTTGGCAGAAATGGGAATATGCGCACCAAGTGTTTAGGCTGCTAATGATTTTACTTGTGCAGCAAAGTGACTAATTTTTTTCTTTTTTGTTTTGCAGAGCAAAATTTTTACAGCTGAAGAAGGGTCCTTGCTGTAGTTTAATAATCTAGATGTAAGAATTTTGGTTTAAAAATGAGTCATCTTTATATATCTTGTAGCTTTTTTCTCTTTGCACCCCTAACAAGAAACATTTTAACAGCCCTGAAAAATGCATGAAACTGGAGTGACTGTACTTAAAATGTTAGGATGAACTAACTGTTCCTAGGTCTGTTACACACCGAGGTGTACTGCATTTATGTATCCGGGGTTCCACTTTAATAGTGCTGACTTGGAACAGGTTTTTGTGTGTGCTGATTCCCTTCAGTTTGCTAGAGGTGAAAGCTGTAAATGATGCTATGGTTAGTGCAAACAATAAAAATAGATTTTTTGAAAACATGCTCCTTGTGCTTTCTTAAGATTTTAAATGGTGCTACTTATATAAAGTCATGGTATTTGATACTTGCTTCATAAGAGATTGTTGGTAGAATGTGTAAGAATAATTATAGGTCTGAGTTATTACTTTCCCACTATGAACATGTTTTCATTAATACTAATATTTTCAATGTTATTACATTTATATTACAATGAGAAGTTTCAGCCAGCAGAGAGAAAGACTGGATAAATAAGAGTAATGTAAGAATACATTTCTGAAGATAGCAGATGAGAAGTGTTTATCTGTAATGCATCTGCAGAGTCCAGTGTTGCTAGGATCTGTTAGTGGTAATATTAATGTTTGGGTTCAGTAAATATTCTGAAAGTTAACTCATATCTATGCACTTGGGCACTTGCATAAATGTCGTCAAAACACAAAGCAAGACCTAACAGCCTGTTGCCAGAGTTTGCAACACATTTATATTCAGATTCTTTTTTAACAATGATCCGTTTTGTTCCCATGTGAGCTTCACAGCAGGGATGTAGCTGGAAAAACTTCATACCACGTATTTGCCGTTAAACAATTTGTGCAAGGCATTGTTAGACTTAAGTACTTCTCCAGCTTTACTCACAGATTTGTGTTTCTCACTTCATAATTCCAGATCCAATCACTAAACTTTGTGCCTTGTACCAAAAAAACTTGAAATATTTTTCTGTCCAAAAAACTCTTGAAATACATGGAAAGGAACAGCAAGTCATGAATCAGTGCAGGAGATTGTATGTACAAGGCAGAAATACAGCTTGAATGCTGATAAAATGCAAGCTCAAGCAAGTCTGTATTTTTGTCAGCCATAAATCTAATGTGGTTAATCTTCATTTGTAACTTCAATTACCCTTGCCAGGCTCTTGTGCTGTGAGTAAAAAATGCAGTAGTACACCTATTCACTTATTTCTGTCGTATAATGGTTTGGTTCGCAAACGTGCAAAATGCATCAAAGTGATATTTGGGAACTATTTGGATATGTTAAGGGGAGGTTGAGGGTTTTCTTGAGGTGTATTTTTTAAATTTTTTAAAACTCCTCTTTTGTATGATGCAAAATCCACAGTGCAGAGTGAATATTCTGCAGTAGTCCACTACAATATGAACGACCTCAAAACTGAGACACAATGTCTTGCAGAGAGAGGTCTGGGAGAATCAGTTACCCACCATACTGATGGCATGAGAAAAGTGGATGTTTCATCAGTTCACCAAAAGAAAATTTACCCCTTTGTGCCCTCTTCTATGCAGATGCACTGGGCACAGAAGGCAGCAAAGTTGTCTGATGCTTTGTAGAACTCTTGACGATGCAGTCTAAAATACGTGGCCATCATTGATTCTGCTTAGTAGGGACAATGTCACGTATACTTCCTAGTGCTCTGTTTCCTAGGGAGCTCATATCTATGTTCGGTAGAGCAGATCTCTGCTGCGCAGAGCTCCGTGCTTGGCACTGTGTTGTCTGGAATGGCCACCTGAAGCTTCACTGTTGAAGTGGAAACTAGAAATCAAATAGTCTTGCACCAAGGACCCCTCTTTCATGAAATGCTTTCTGTAAAATACCCAGGATCCAAAATACATAGTTAAGCACTAAATTTTACAAAAAGGTGAAGATTTTGGTACCAAGGTGATGCACGCCTTCGACTGCATTTCATTAGGCAACAGTATGCACCCTCAGCAAGTCAGTGGTGATGATAATGATCTTGCTTTCAAAATACTTAAAAATCTGATGTTAACTGAAATACTCCACCTTAGTGTAACAGCGCTATGACTATCAGCTACATTACCATTTAATTGTGTCTAGCACTAGAAACATACAGTCGTGACATTGCAGTTACCTTCGTGGTGTGAAAGTGCTATTCATTAATGAAAGGATGAATTGAGAAGTGTGTGAGTTTAATGAAACCTGTTGTTGCATTCATGTAGGTTAACCTGTTAGTCCACGTGTACGTTAAGTGCCTCAGGATATCTGCTCAAGTGGAGATGGAATTTGTCTTTATTTTCTTGACAGAGGAAGAGCAGGCAAAAATGTTGTCTGGAGCCCTGCAACCAGGGAGACCCCTGATATTCAGGCCCACTACCTTCTCTTGGAGGTAAGCCTTGAAGAAAAGCAAAACGATGCTTTTGGAGAACCTGTGTATAAAAGGATGTGCATTTAACAGACAGTTAAGATCCAAGAAAGACTGGAGTGAGTCTATTGGAGAGCCACCAAGGTGGTTGGGACTGGAGCATACTCCTGTGAGGAAAGGCCAAGGGAACAGGTCTTGTTCAGCCTGGAGAAGGCTTTAGGGGGGACCTAATAGCCACCCCCCAATACATATGAGGCTACAGAGACTATGGAGCTGGGCTCTTCACTGACTTGTGTGATGGGGAAAAAAAAGAGATCATGGTTACAAATTGATACAGGTGAGGTTCTGACTTGGTATAAGGAAAAACATTCACTGTAAGGAGGAAAAACACAGGAGCAAGTTCCCCAGTGTGGCAATGTAGTCTGAATTCAGTGTGACCCTGCTTTGAGCACGAGGTTGGACTACAAACCTCCCAAGGTGCCTTCTGGCCTGAATGATTCTATAATTTACTAGTGGAAACAGAGAAGAAAGCTTAAAAGTTCTGGTTATTTAATAATGAATGCCTCTGTTAGCATCTGTGTCTCCTTAAAGTGCAAAAAATGCTCTTGGATCAGCCGTTCTAACTCTCTCAAATCTAATGAGAGAGAATTTTCTTAAGTATATTCTGATGGCAGATGCCATTATTAAGTGGAATAACATCATGTTCAGTGCCTCTGTCTTTTGGTACATACTTTTATTTAGCCCAGTTTTGACAGCAGAGAAAATCAACAAGAAATTCAGGTGTTAAGGAACACTGAACAGGCCTATTTGCCTTAAAATCAAGTATCTGAAATGAAGAAAATCGCTCTTTGCAGTGTGTAGGTTATTTGTGTTAAAATAGAACAAATCCACACCTCAATGCTAATGTTGCTTAGTTTGCCTATAAATCATCTCAACTGTGCAGTAGTGCACTCTGGTGTTTTCTGAGAGAATTGTTTAGGTGTGTTGTCTGGTCACTCCTGTATGGTTTGCAGTCTTACGTTTTGCATTCTTGATTTTTCAGTAGGTGTCCTAGTTGATATGGCATGGATTTTAGGGACAGAGATCTTCCACAAAAATAAGATGACCAGGAAATTTTAAATTTTTCTTTAAGTTGCCGGTTGCCCGTCCTGCTTCTTTAGGAGCTTTATGGTGGTTGAGTTTTGTTTTGGTTTTTTTTCTTCCTGTTTCTCTTGCTGTTACTTTTCCCAACCTCTACTTTCTTGTCTGAAGAGAAGTCAGATGCAGCACAGGAGATTTCTTTTGCATCTCGCTGGTCTTCCCCTTACAGTCAAGAGAATTGCTCTCATCAGACTTCACAGATCGTTGCACAATGACAAAAAGTATGTGATATATATACAAAAACAGGAATAGGAAAACAAAGCGGAAGAGATGCAGTCAGTAGTCAGTCAGATGCAGATCAGACTTTGGTGTTGTCTCACAGACACGTCATATCAGACATACTGAGAATCTATTTCACATCCTGTATACAAAGTTAACGGCATAAACGTTCAGCTGGAGGCCAGGTGCTGGATTTCCAGAGTAGCTATATTACAGTACGTACAGAGCAAGAAAAAAAATGAAACTAAATAAGCTGATGTCTGATTTGGAGCGGACATTCATGTTCCCCCCCTGCCTCCCTCTCCTTGGCAGCTTATAAAACTGTTTGCGTAACCGGCTGCTCGCCACAGGCATCCAACCCATGGTACGCTCCCGCTGCCACCGGGCTTACAATGCTTGTAGTGAGGAGGGGAGGCCGAGGTGTCCTTTTAGGTCCGCTGGCTGCAGAGGTTAACCTGTCCCTGCCGCCTGTAAAAATTAACGTGCAAGTGCTGAAATTGGTTGCCCCTTTGTTTGTCTTACCAGCGTAACGTGTGTGAGGAGGTTCTCCCCACAAACACGGCTGTGATAGAATTAAGAATTTTCCTAGGAACGGAAGAGGGCTAGAAACTTCCCACCAAAGGAGATGGGGAGCAAAATTCGGGCTCTGAACTCTGAGAGGGGCCTCACTGTTTCCTCTGCCAAGGGCGCCCGGCAGGCCGGCCGGCTGCCCGCAGGCATGCTGCCCACCATTCTCCCCTTGCCCTCACTTCAAGGCAGGCGCAGGCCGCATGGGTGCTGTCGCCAAGGTACCGAGATGATCCCTTGTCTTCTACGCTCCAGAAATTTAATGCGGGAATCCACAAATTCGTGTTTGCAGGTGGGGAATGTTAGCTGATGCCCTCACGGTAACACGGGAAACTGGTCAGTGTGGGAAGGTGGCAGGAGGGAAGTGTGGAGTTTCCACCTCTGTGTGCAGAAAACATTACCTGAGACTGTCATGGCTCTTTGGTGTCTCACATGGCACAAATGAAGCTCAAGCGTTTGACCAGCACCTGTTGTCGCATGGGGAAAAAGTGGCATGGCCTCCATGAGAGTCATCTCCTGAGGGAACTGCCTGTGTGCCAGGTGGGAGCCGGCTAGGCAGGCCCGGGGGGGACTGCGTGCCGTTGTGTTGTGGCGCCATGTTGCAGCGCTGGGGTTGGGTTGTGGCTCTGGGGCCCTGAGCGATGCTGAGGAGGGTGGTTTGCTGGCAGATGTAGGCATTTTGGCTGTTCTGCAGGGT